GGCAAATATCGGTAAAATACGTCAAATAGGCCACGATCACTTCTTTCGAAATCCTTTACAGTTCATCGTTCGGGGAAGAGATGAATGCGGTATTTTGAATTTTTTTAATATACGAAATAAATATTTACTGCTATAAGAAATCTAAAATAGACCAAAAACAACTGGAGAATGTGAAATGTTTTAAATATTTGGGTAGCTTGTTAACAGATGATGGAAGGTGTACTAGTGAAATTAAATCCAGGATTGCCATGGCAAAAGCTGCATTTAGCAAGAAGAAGAATCTTTTTACCAGCAAATTGGACTTAAATTTGAGGAAGAAACTAGTGAAATGCTACATTTGGAGCATAGCTCTGTATGGGGCTGAAACATGGACACTTAGGGCAGTAGATCAGAAACATCTGGAAAGTTTCGAAATGTGGTGTTGGAGAAGAATGGAGAAGATCAGTTGGACCGATTATGTGAGAAATGAAGAAGTGTTAATTAGAGTCAGTGAGCAGAGGAATATCCTACATGAAATAAGAAAACGGAAGGCTAATTGGATTGGTCATGTTTTATGCAGAAACTGCCTTCTAAAAGAAGTTATCGAAGGAAAGATAGAGGGGCGGATAGAAATGACAAGAAGACGAGGAAGAAGACGTAAGAAGATGCTGGATGACCTTGGGGACAGAAGAGGATACTGTCATTTGAAGGAGAAAGCTCTAGATCGCATTAAGTGGAGGAATTGTTTTGAAAGAGACTGTGGACCTGTCGTCTTGACAGATTACTGATGATGATGATGATGATGATGATAAGAAATCACCTGAAACAATTATCTTATGTTGGTGTCGAGAAATCCGTTACTACATTGTCTCAGATGTTTAAACAGACATTGATATAATATAAATACAATATTATGGGCAGATATTCACGATAGCTCCGTGGGCCGAATCCGGCCCGTGGTCCGTAGTTTGCGAACCACTGCTTGGCTGCAGAATCCCGGAGTAGGACCTGTTCCTTCAAAGATGAGTGGGAGATCATACCTGCTGGCCATACACGGCACAGCCACCTGGACAACGTAGAAGCGCTCAACTGGGAACAGCTTGACAGAAATGTTTACCGACGCCTCAAACAGTGGAATGTTGTTTCAAACGCGACAGAAAGATAATCGAATTAGTTAAACCTAGCGGGTTGGCGTAGCGGTAACGATCGGTTCGAATTTCGGCCGCCTCACCGACAATCCTATGAGGTTTCTCGTGATTTTCTCAGTCTTCCCAGGCAAATGCTGGTACAGTACCTCAAATAGGCCACGACCAATTATTTCGAATTAATGATTCATCAATAATTCGACGCTACAGGCCTGAGAGCCTGATAAATAAACCGTAAAAAAGAAATAATTAAATATATAGAAACTTATTTCCTGCAAAAGCAGTACATGTAACTAGTTTGTTTTGCAGAACAGATGCTATATATATTAAAGTGTAAAATGGGTTCAAGGGAAAATTTTTGACGAATAAAACTGGGTTTTCAATATCAGAAACAAAGGCAAAGAAGCAATTTTTTTTTCCTTGGCACTACAGCCCCAGTGGGCCTAGGCCTACCTCCATGAACTTCTCCGTTCACTTCGGTTTTTCTAGAGCTTACACATTCGGTAGGACTCCTTGGGCGAGTGATCAGCTCGTCGCAACGCCTCTACCTGTAACCAAACATCCATGCCCTGAGTGGGATTCGAACACACGATCCCGGCTTCCGATCGAGCGAAGACAGTGCATGCCTTAGACCGCTCGGCTACCATAAAGAACCAATTACATCCACAAAATATAATAGAATTCAACATCAAATGTATTATTGTTGTTTTTTGTTTAACGACGATATCAACATTTCATACATCGAAAGATACGATAATTTGTGAATGACTCGGAAGAGATTTGGAAGGTGTCGGTCGTGAGCTAATATGAGATAATATGCCCAGCCTTTACCCCGAAGGACGGCTGAAAACCACAAAACCGTCCGTCTGAATAACAGGTGTGCTGGCCGAGACCTGAACCGAGCATCTCCTCAATGCAAGCCCAAAGCGATACCGTTACGCTAACCTGCTCATTGGTTATCATTATAACCACATAAACTACAATAAAAAAGGTAAAGTTAATCCTGTAACAGGCCGTGGAGGCCCATAGGGTTGTGAGACGTCGAGACTTTCACATTTTTTAGACAATCGGCTCACAGATGGCGGCGATGGTGTCAACCTTACGCTCCGGCCGCCCTTTACCCCCAGGAAGATTCCTGGTACTCATTTATATTAGAGGCTGAGTCGACCCCTGGGCCATAGTGAGGCTGGAAGGATAAGGTCAATTGAAAAATCCAGTGTCATCGAGAATCGAACGAGCGACCTTCCTGGTTGTAGCATAACGCCGCAATCAACTACGCTACGGTGTGCCCCATCCCCAGAAAATAAATTAGGAAACTATTCTATCTGTATTTCGGTAAATATTATTTATATTAAAATATTGAAAATAAAGCATCTACATCCCAAAGATTAAGCATTAACCTGTTCCGACCTCGTTTATGACTTTCATTCTGTTCCCGTCATTTCACATATCTTTTGCTGTACACCTTATAAGTCACAGCTTGTTTAGAAATGGGGTTCCATCCGTTCTTTGGTCGCGGTCCTTCTATTTCTATCTTTTTCTTTGGGGGGGGGGTCAACGAGAAAGTCCTGAGTTGATCCTATACCTTAATATCTTATTCAATTTTCTGCAACCCTTCACAGATAATAAGATTTCTTCCCAGCAGCCTCTACCTCGTCCATACTAATCTTCATAGTCCAACAGAATTCTTATGTCTCAATGTTCTGTACACATTTTATACGATGGACGGACTATACACCTACAGGAACAAATTCATTGGACGCTCAAAGTCACGCAGAATGAACCAGCCCATCTTACAGAGGTACGGGAAGGATCAAAAGGTCAAAACCACGACGTTAATGAAGGTGATGATTTGTTTCAAGTAAAGGGGTATATTTAAATTTGGGCCTCGTGTAAACCAAGGACACGCTGTTTTCTTTTCTCTGCATGGAAAACAAGCAGAAATAACGCGAATCCCTTGGCAGCTGTCATCACGCCCACCCTGCAGTGTCGGCCAAATGGGCCGTGAAATTCCTAACTACACATTCAGCAGATGCACAGACGATTTATGTGTCTCGTTTATTCCGGTATGGCACAAAATAACTGCAAATCAATGCGAGCTAAAGCTACCTTGTGCGTAACCATTTAATGCTCAGTGATTATTACTCGCACCAAAACTTCCATTCTGTCCACGCAATGCTCCATATAGTCCTCACAATAGACGGCATTAACCGACCGGCTTTGTAGCGGAGACGTAATGTGTTTCCTGTGAGGTACGGACTGAATTGCTATATATTCTGCCCACATAGTGTATCTGTATGTTCCGTATGGTTCTCACAATAAACAGCGGCTGTTTCCCTAAAGAGCATTAACCGGTTGGGCTCTGTAGCGGAGATGTAATGTGTTTCCTGTGAGGTACGGATTGAATTCTTATATATTTAAAAGACGATTTGCCTGTGTAGAGGCGGGTTCCAATACCTCCATTCTAGCCCTGCGAGTGGCAGGAGGCGACGAAAAGGGAACTTGGCCACCTTGTTCCTAGGGGATGTGAATATGGGGACCTGGCCCTCCAGGTTGGAGGAGTCTCGAATCTGAGACACTAAAATATGGTCGAATCCCGCGTAACTCGGACCCGAGAATGACTGCGTTGGCGAGGCCCAGCAGAAATTGTAAACGACAGACATATCCTCTCGTGAGAGTGGGCACTCCACGCCAACAAATCCGCAACCGTCTGACAGTAACAAAAATCTGGTCTTGGCCCCAAATGGGGGTTGGACAGGAAGACAGGCTGGCTGATAGGCTCTAAAGTGTTAATTAAGCAACATGCTATGAAGACGTATAGGCGGAGTGGAGGTTCATCTCCACTCATTTTAACCTCGGCACTAGGTGCAGGTGAGGGGCCAGATTCACACCCAGACCGCTTTATCAGCGAGGTAAGGGCCCCAGGTACCGATTGGCTACGAGATTCGGTGAACCCCAGGGCGGGTCTAAATGCTGTGGAGACAAATCTCTGGCCTTGAGGACAATCGAACCCCGATTCCTTGGAAGTCCAGCCCGTAGCTCATCGTGAAACCGACTGAGCTGTAAGCAGCATAGAATTTAGGATATTAATAGATCACTTCGGCGTTGGTTTCCCACCACGGAGTCCCGGGTTCATTCGCAAATGATTTGAGATTAGATTCGTGATGAGAGAAGTGGCACTGGAGTAAGGTTTTCTGCAAGTTTCTTCGGGTTCCCCCTTCTAATCACCATTCCACCATTACTCCACGCTCGTCTGTTTCTCTGTCGTCTTATTTAACAAAGCCGTCAGGATGTCATGCTATATAGCGTCGAATGGTAGGATGATACACGATGAATCGAAGGGACTTGGAATGAAGCGGGCATGGCTTAATAGAAGTAATATTCTTGCATATGTCTGAAATCATGAAAAATCTCGGTTAGCACAGTAGATGTCCCTAGATTCAAACCGCGCACATCCCGAATACGATTCTACAGCGTCACCGCCACGGGAACCCGCTCTATGCGGCATATTCTCTAAAGCTGAAATCATATACGAATTTCTAGACGCCCAAACGTAAGGACAAGGCCGATTACCTTCGGAAATACTTACACAGCCTACATAAGTAACTCTTGCTGACGTGTGGGTCTTGATTCGTCAATAAACCTCCCTTGACACTCAGCTCTCTGCTTATCTTAATACCCTCACAGCTAATGACTTTGAGTATCCGCCTGGCAAGCAAACCGCGCAGGCAGACCTCGACACAATGGGGCGTTATCACCGTCAAACAATATTCCATCTTCCTTGACGCTGAGCTATCTTGCGCAGGCAGTGGAGGGGTAACAGCGGTGTGTGACGTAAGGTCAATAACTCTCATATTGGATGCATCACGGGTGTTCCTCCCCTCCCCCTCACGCCTATTCACCGACTTAAGGACGATAGGGAAATTTGGAGGCTGCAGTTGATCAGTTGAATTTGTGGCGACGTGAAGAACAGACGAGGTAAGAACTGAGTTCGTTGCTAGAGTCAAAGAAGACCCTTGAGAATTGCTTTAACTTCTTAAATATTCTAATTTTACAAATGCTCCTTGGCCTTAGGACATCACAGATGGACATTAATGGCCTGAAGACTGAATTTCCTCTAAATAAGAAAGGAATTCGTACCTCGCAGGAAACACGTTACGTCTCCGCTACAAAGACCAATCCGGTTAATCGCAATCCCTGTTTACTGTGAGAACCATACGAAATACACGAACTCATTCTATGTGGGCAAATTTCAGAGTTTTAGCATATTAAAGCAGATGGTACACATAGTAACCAGTGGGCTTTAAAGGGCTACGTGTGGCTTAAACTTCTGGGACTGGGCCGCATCTAGTGCCGAGAGGTTTCTAACGTTTCGGCAGACCTTTTACTTGCCATTTTCAGGGTTAATGCGGGTGTCGGAGGTGAAACTGTGATTTGACGAACATGGAAGCAGGACGCTAACGAAGTAGGAGCAAGACGGTTGGTGAAAAGATAAGATAAAATTATTCTTGCGCTCAGGTGGCCATGAGGTGTGGAGGGCCAAGAGGCGGTGGAGAAATTTTTCTCTTTCTTTTGTCTCTTTCCATGTAGACAAGAGAAAGAGTTCAGTGCTTGTTGGGTGAAGATGGTTTAGTGTTGAGTTTGGGGAAATTATGGGGGGGTAAGTACAGCTATCCCTGTAACAGGCCGTGGAGGCCCATAGGGTTGTGAGACGTCGATGCTCCCACATTTTCTAGACAATTGGCTCACAGATGGCGGTGAGGTTGTCAGCCTTACGTGCCGGCCGCCTTTTAAGCCTCAGGAAAACTCCTGCTGCTCATTTCTGTCAGAGGCTGTGTCGACCCCAGGGCCATAGTGCGGCTGGAAGAATTAGGTCAATTGAAAAATCCACCTCATCGGGACTCGAACCCGCGGTCTTCCGGCCTGTAGCACAGTACCTCAACCAACTACGCTAGCTCCGCTCGCTGGTTCGGTAATTCCGACGTATTCCGAAACCCTTGCGGATAGGTGGCTGTCCGTTCGAACAATGTACACCTTGCCATAGGTTGGAAAGCCCTCGACACTACACGCGGGCCAGTTGTTGTTCAATTAACAACGGCACTGTCCTAACACTAGTCCGGTTTTGATATCAGGACTGTGACAAAGATGTAGTTAATATTTTAATTGCCACATGAAGGATGGTAGGCTGAAGAGGACGCAAGTCAGAGAAGTGCATACAAAGTTTTGGTAATGAAACCTGAGGGAAATAGACAAGTAGTCAGACATTGACGTAGATGGAAGGGTAATATTAAAATTAATGTTAAGAGATAGGACTGGAGGGTGTGCAATGGATGCATCTGGCTGTGGATAGGGACCAGTGGCGGGCTGTTGTGAACATAGTAATGAACAATCACGTTCCATACAAGCAGTTTAATTTATTGAGTAGCTGAGCGACTAATAGCTTCTCAAGAAGGGCTCGGCTGCACGGAGCTACTTAGTTATTACGTCAGATTGCTATTACTGTGACGAAAGACGCGGTGTCTCGGAAAAAAAAAACTAATTTCAACTATTTCCTAATCCACTCCATGAACCAGAGCCCTTCTTGACAAGCTGACGCTCGCTCAGTTAGTAAATGTGTTTCGCTTTCTACTTTCATTTCATTACCTTAATCGATTTATAGAAATTATTCCTTAAAAGCAGTTTGGCATTCTCAGTGACAAGAATATTAAAACTAGTCTTCTGGGATATTATTGGACGTGTTACCAACGTTTCGGAGCAACCTACAGCCTCTTACTGTATGCTAGGATTGCAAGGTCCAACAATTACTTCGCTACTGAAAAAGTAACAATATTTTCCCACAGGCCTGTCCCTTGTTCGTCCGTCGCGTAATTGCCCGCTTCCAGTTTTTGGAATGAAACATCTTCCACTATACATAAATGGAAGGTCCAACATGTCACATGAAATTAATAAGTTTCTTTTCTATTTAGGTCCATAACAATGAAGACGTTCGACGTTCTCTTGTTTTGTGGAGTTGTGCTTCTGTCCGTGATCCTCTCAACCTCAGGTAAGTACGCGGCCTTGACTTCAGTGGGATTCTCATTACGGGAGGAACCAAGGGATCTGCCACACATCGCTCGGGTGTGGTGAGGTAACGCTATCCCTGTAACAGGCCATAGGGTTGTGAAACGTCGAGACCCCCATATTTTCTCTAGACAACAGGCTCACAGATGGAGGTAAGGTTCTCAGCCTTACGCGCCGGCCGCCCTTTACCCCCAGGAAGATTCCTGGATTTTTTAATTGACCTAATCCTTCCAGCCGCACTATAGCCCTGGCGTCGACTCAACCTCTAGAGTACCAGGAATCTTCCTGGGGGTAGACGGCGGCCGGCACGTAAGGCTGACAACCTTACGCCATCTGTGAGTCGATTGTCTAGAAAATACTGGAGCTTCCAAGTCCTGTTACAGGGACAGCTTTACTGAAAGCGTCCTTGAATAACCCACCAATAAAATAACAAAAAAGAGTAAGATTTGCATTTACAACCGGTGATGTCCAGGAGACAAACCGTCGCGGGTGGTGTGTTACTTCAGCAACTGGGCCATCACCCGTCCAGGAGTGGGGAGCTACAAAATTGAAGACGTCCCAGCCGATCTGTGTACTCACGTGATCTACTCCTTCATCGGTGTGAGCAATGTCACGTGGGAGGTGCTGGTTATTGACCCAGAGGTGAGCGGACTCCGATCACTTCATTAGGGTAAGGATTTGAGAGGAATTTCTTACAGTCCGTGAGCGGACGTGAAAAGAAAACGATGGGCATGAAGGGCCGAGACGCGGTGGCCACAGGGGCGAACGGATCTTTCACGTTTTGAACAGCGTTCGTTTCCTGCCTTAACAGCAAACACACTCAACGAAGATACGGGTGGATATTGTAGATAAAGTTTATCTGTACTTCTGTTCATCATCGCTGTATAGTCAGTTACAATAGAACTTGTTGCAACTACGTTAAATTAATATTCCTGGCGTGTTTCGACACTAATATTGTAATCCTCGAGTGAACATACTTATTAATGCAAAATAAAGTAACTGAGGTTATTCTTCATGATTGTACATAACCATAAATTATTAAAATTCCCATCAAAGAGCCTTACATATAAAATAGCATCTCACAAACACCGTACAATAAATTCCTCTGTGAAATCCAGAGAACCAAGTACGTTCAGAGTGATCAAATCAAGGAGAATGAGATGGGCAGGGCATATAGCATGAATGGGGGAGAAGATGAATGAACACAGGATATAGGTCGAAAAGTCAGAAGGAAAGAGACCACCGGGAAAACCAAGACGAAGACCAAGACCAAGACAACATTAAAATGGATCTTAGAGATATAGAATGGGATGGATCGATCTGGCTCACGATAGGGACGAGTGGAGGGCTCTTGTGAACACGGTAATGAACCTCCGGGTTCCATAAAATGCTGAGAAGTTCTCGAGTAGCTGCACAATGGGCGGCGTATCAAGAAGGGCTCACCTCCGTGAGTGAGTGAGTGAGTGAGTGAGTGAGTGTAATCACAATATCCTTGTAAAACAATGTATGGCTGTTGACATCTTGAACAGACCATATAGATGTTCAATAAGAAGATTAATTAAACTTCAAGCTAAAACAAATAAGATAAAAAATGTTGCTGATAAATATAATAATTATATCGTTTTAATATATCCGTGAACACAACAATCAAATAACTCACTTCCACTTTCGTGTCGACTGTGTTCATTTAACTTACGTTACAGTTACGTGACATGTTTCGACAACCACAGAACCATCATCAGAGGATGAAATATAATAAATTCATAAAATATTGAATCATAATTGTTATGGATCTATATTACAAATGTTGTGCACATTATAAAATGTCGATTTGATTGTTGTGTTCACGGATATATAAAAAAACATATATTCATACATACAAGATGATGCAGTCCCTGAAGAAATATAATAATTAATTTCTCTGGTGTTACTGTGATTTTATATCGAAGACAAAAAGGGTCGAAGAAAGCGTAGGTCCTATCCTTTAATCTGTGAAAGATTACAGAATGGAAATGTTCATACACTTCATACACAGTGTTTCAGTGTCTATAAAATTCTCCACATTAAAACAAACCGCCCAAGCCGTCTACGATTTGAAAACTGGAAGCACACATACACACTGCGCAGACTGCTGTCGCGTTTGTCCTTGGAAACGCAACTGAAACGCAGAGCGATGCGTTCCAGTGCGGATGACCTTGAAAACGCAGCGCAGTTACAATTGCGTCTGTAAGATACTTCCATCCGGCTACACGTTTATATCCGTGTGTCGCTCTTCCCACGCCATTTTTACGCTCACTCACGGCCGCAAAATAATGCTCTTGTGGTCTTGTCCTTAACGAACATATAAGAATGTTACTAGTCACTGATTGATAACGGCCTACGTCCACCTTCCAATCGATGTCGCTAATGGTTTATGTGGTAAATATAGGGCGTCTCACGAAGTGTTTACTCATTTCAAATAATACAGAGATTCTAAATTTGTCATAAACTTTTAAAACAAGAAATTTTGAGAAAAAAAAATGCTCACTCATAAAGCCTACTTTCCTACTACATATATTTATAGTCCTTCACTAAAAGATAACTCTGAAGATGGTAACTGCAATATCTGACGAAACTTTGAAAACCCTTCAACATTCTATGCGGCTACCAGGGACAATCCTAGCTCAACTACAGCCCTGGCAGTTTCTAAAGAAACACAAAATGTAATTAATACTAAAACTAATTAAGCACAACGCCATGAAGGCGTGTGGAGGAGTGGATGTACAGACCCACGTTTTCTTGAGCTCGGCACTAGTTGGAGTTTGGTGGTCAGCTTAACGCTTAACCCCGAGAAAGAGCCCCCGATACCCATTGGATAGGAGGCTGGGTGGGCCCCAGAGCCGGTCCGGACGACATGGAGAAGTGAAAATTCATGCCCCCACTAGGACTCGAACTCCAAGCTCTAGGTCGTCCAGCCCGTAGCCAGTCGCTGTATCGACTGCGCTATAAAGAAATACAATACCAAGAAAATACACTTTACCATTACTTGTCTTAATCACTTGTACCGAAAAATTCTTTTTCCAACTGTTCCTGTTCCAGATCGACTTGACAATGACCGGCTTTGCCAATTTCACCGCGCTCAAGAAAAGGATCCCCGGGCTGAAGACGGAAGTCGCCGTTGGAGGGTGGGGAGAGGGCGGAAGGAAATACTCCGGCCTGGTATCCGTGAAGGAAAGACGAGACAGTTTCATTGCCAGTGTTGTGGGTAAGACAACGTGAACCATTCAAGGAGAAATGCCTGTCCTGTCGAGGTTAACCAATATTTGTCCGTGCCAAGGCGGTTACCCACTGTCTTCTCAATTCGAAGCCCCAGGTTCAATCCCGGATAAGGTGAATGAAGAGACACTGTACCAGATTTTTCTCAGTTCCTTCCTTTACCCTACTAATCACCATTACATTACTGCGCCAAATTGATCTATAACCGTCCCCTGAGGTCTACGATAACCCTGATCAGGCAGCACATTATCATATCCTCGGCCTTTAAGTTGGGGGCTTCATCTTTGACTCATCACTTGACGGAGTTAATATTTGACGTATACGTGGAAAACCCACGGTATGGAGTAAGACCGAAGCATTCTATGATGAAACACTTTCTTAGAGATTCCTAATAGCTGTGTATTTCGTAAAGACAAGAGTTACACGCAGATGCGTAACATCCTGTCACTCAAGATACCACTAATTATGGAAGCGAGTGACCACACAGACCAAGCAAGAAATGCCCCACGAACACGTAACCACTTGAGATGACGTCTTCACGACAGGGAAACCGAACAGGTTGGCACAACGGTAAAACTACAGACTCGCATTCAAAACATGCTCGGTTCAAATCTCGGGCCAGACATACGCTATTCTGGTGACTTTCATGTTTTCCTTCAGTCCCTCCACGCAAATGCCAGGATATATACTGGATTGAGCCTCCTTTCAAATCCTTCCCAATTCATCGGTCATCCTACAAGTCTACGCCATATAACCCATATATTAACCAACTCCAAGGGCCTGACTCCCTCTTAAGTTGCCAACAGTTGCTCAGCTGGCCAGCAAGTTCCCTCCCTTTTTTTTTTCGAAAACCCAGAGTTCATAACCGTGTTCACAGTCGCCCGCCACCTGTCCCTATCCTTAGCCAGATGAATCCAGTCCGCACCGACCATATTTCTTTAAGACCCAGCCCCGCGAAGCAATCTCATCCTTTCAGGTTTTCGTATAAGACTTGGTATTCTTTCCTCTCATGCATGCCATATCACCCGCCCATCTCATCCTTCTTAACTTCATCATTCTAATATTTGGCGAGGGGTACAAGTTATGAAGCTCCTCAATCCCAAGAGGTTAAAATATTGTCACAGACGGGGTTTGGATTGGTGACCCGATTTGTTGACCACTTCTACTCAAAACTTGTAACTACAAGTAAATATGACCGCCTCACTGGTTTACACACTATAAAGAACACTGTAACTACAACACACACAAAGTCTTCTGTCTTCACTGGTCGTTTCCTAGTAATAGATCCTAACAATGTGCTCTGCTAACGCCATTACCGGTTGGCGAATATCCGACAACTCGCTCATGCTCCAACTGCCTCACTCTCAGGCTGACGGCCAACTCTCACCAACCTCCTAGTCTTCTCTTCACTGACTAACTGCAGCGCTCACCTTGTGCCGTTTGTAACATCTTGGTACGGACCGCGCAGAAAACACCGCTCTTAATTGTTGTAGTTAAATAGTTTCCGTGGGAACATGTTTGTTTGCGAAGGCGTTACTCGGTAAAGGAACTTGTATATTTAGTTATTTCACGGTGGTTGCCTGGCAACGGGTCTAGACGCTACAGTACCCTCAGCACTGAACAATAACGCATTCTTGTAATACAGATTTCATGGAGCAGTATGGATTTGACGGATTCGACCTCGACTGGGAATATCCTGGAGCTGCCGATCGTGGAGGCAGCTATTCCGACAAAAATAACTTCTTCTACTTCGTCGAAGAGTTACGGAGAGCTTTCGACAGCAAGGGCAAGGGTTGGGAGATCACAATGGCTGTGCCGCTTGCCAAGTTCAGGCTGCAAGAAGGCTACCACGTTCCTGAACTCTGCGAGTGAGTATACTCAATTCTTCGCTGCACTGCTCGTTTACATTATTAAGGTGGGCGTGGGGCGTAGAAGTGGTCAAATGCAAATGTGCCGAGAAGACTGGGGTAAGGGCAACGCTCTAGACTTACGTATAGATGGCGCTCGGTTCAAATCTTGGCAGACACGCCCGAACTAAGCTCACTCACGTTCTCGTAGCTTCTCACAGCCACGACCACTTCCTTCCAAATTATTTCAAATTCATCATTCATCGATTATCCTATCATTCGCTGTAATACAGTCCAGCTGCAGACAGCGCAGAAAAATGGATCATCACGAGCGCTTATACCTTGAAGATGGAAGCAGAGAGTTTGTTTCACACTGGTAACCATCCACCAACCNATGTTGATAATACGAAGAATGTGACATTGTGTTTTAAATGTTAAATTTTAGACCGAGTTCAGTGTGGCAGCAACGTTAAGAGTATACACCTGATGATGGCCGATAGAGGCCGAAACATGTAGTGTAGAAAGAACAAGATCAGAGACATATAATATATATTGTTTGCACTTGGGACGGAATTTGTGTCATTTATACGTAAATATATTCTACATAAGAATTCAGTCCGTACCTCACAGGAAACATTACGTCTCCGCTACAGAGCCCAACCGGTTAATGCTGTTTAGGGAAACAGTCGCTGTTTACTGTGAGAACCACACGGAACACACAGATACACTGCATGGGCAGAATATATAGCAATTCAGTCCGTACCTCACAGGAAACACATTACGTCTCCCCTACAGAACCCAACCGGTTAATGCTGTTTAGGGAAACAGTCACTGTTTACTGTGAGAACCATACGGAACATACAGATACACTGTGTGGGCAGAATGCAGAGCTATTTTAATACTGAAGTGGATGGTATATATTTACTTGCAGACTGGTGGATGCTATCCACGTCATGGCATACGATTTGAGAGGGAACTGGGCTGGGTTCGCGGACGTGCACAGTCCTTTGTACAAGAGACCGACGGACCAATGGTCATACGAGACTTTGAACGTGGTAAGTAGAACTGTCCGCAATACACATACAATTGTGTGTATGCCGGTGTCAAAGGAGAAAATTTTGCCTGTTACATCTTCGCTAACACGGTGTCACGGACATCGCTACGGGGAAGAAGGGAAACTAGCTATCTGCCATCCCTCCCCCCTTTGATTTTCGAAAAATAAATAAGAATTGACGAAAATACGTAAATATAGACATTAGTAATAATGAAAATTACAAGTAATCCTATACATAATTATTCATCTATCCTGCATGTCCTAGCGCCATCATTAAAATCGTCTTAAACAGATTAAATGTACGATTCTAACCAAACTTTATCGATGCACCTCTTGGAAAATAATTTTCTGAAGCGTCTATGCACAAAGCCCAATTGAACTTTGAAGGTGGAGCAGTTAAAAAGAAACTTCTTAAAACATACGTAACTTCATTACAGTAAATCCTTGCTAATCCGGATTAATTTCAGCGGGGGGGTTAATCTGGATTAGTGAAGCAAACGATAGCCCTAGAAAACAAAAAAAGAACTTAGAACAGAAATAAATGGAAAATTGAATGATGTAAGCAGTGCTGAGGAAAATAAATAACAAAATATCACTGTAGAGTCTTTATTTAAAAACTATAAAAAGACAATACATTGATTCATAGATAGAAGACTCGGAAGTTGTGCTTGGCTTTTAATGTAATAAGGCAGGTTTGAAGAAACTGTCAAGTTTTGTGTGAACAGACAAGTGACTCATCTGCCTTCCTAAATGTCAAGTGCCTTTTACTGTATGAACTCAACTGTGAACAGCGTTTTTCATATTTCGATCCGAATTAACTGTAACCGGATTAGCGAGGGTTTATTGTAATATTATGAAACATAAAAGAGAGCTGTATTTATACCGGTAAATCAAATCTGACACAACAGCATTATGCGTTAAGTGGTCCTGCTATCTAGAGGAAAATTTTCCGGCAGGCGTGGACTAGAAACTACAAGCAATTACAGCGCCATCGCTAATCTCAACAATCCACAAATCACCACACCATCCGCTAAGCCTTTTCCAGCTTGCTATGTCTTTACCAGTCGTTCCCTGGCAACGGCTTCTAACAATGGAAATTCTTCAGCTACACGGCATCATATTCTATCTTCACAGACTCCCGTGTAGAACTCAGCTCTCTGTGAACTGAACTATCAATTTAATTATAGCGCCAATTCTTCCCAGCATCCCTTGCAGAGTCCAACTGAACTGGTTGCCCCAATTCTCTTCTTTTATACTCCTCAGAGCGGACCGTGTAGACAACACCGTTTCTCCCGTTACATGCGTAACCGTTGCAGCGGGAACGTGTTTATCGAGCCGTTGCGTAACACCGTTGTATATCCGCCTACTGCATAGCAACGGCTGTACACGCCGTGAGACCTTCATATCCTGAACTAATTTTTAAAGTGCTGTGTTCTAACACTGCCGCACAGAATGACGGACTTCAGCTGTGGGTGAACATGGGCTGCCCGCCGGACAAGCTTGTGGTTGGAATCCCGTTCTACGGCCGCACCTTCACGCTGAGCCAGGGTACCAGCAACTACAACATCGGCACTTACATCAACAAAGAGGCCGGCGGGGGTGCTCCAGGTCCCTACACACAAGCCGCCGGGTTCCTGGCTTACTATGAGGTATCATTTCCGTTACCAGTAGCTCAGGGAGGCACGAGGTGGCGTAGTTCGTTGAGTCACTATGCTACAAGCCGGAAGCTAGCGGGTTCAATTCCCGATGAGGTCTTTGGATTTTTCGATTGACCTAATTCTTCCAGCCCTGATGTCGACTCAGCTTCTAAGAGAAATGAGTACCAGGAATCTTCCTGGGGGTAAAGGGCGGCCGCCTCCTAAGGCTGACCTCACCGCCATCTGTGAGCCAATGTGAAAGCCTCGATGTCTCACAACCCTATGGGCCTCCACGTCCTGTTACAGGGATAGCTTTACTTTTTACGACGTTCGTATTGTATCAAAGGAAAGCAGTCAATCATCCCTTCCCAGAGCTTCTTGTTTATATAGGGGAATGCAATCTTGGAACACAATTTTGTCAACTAATTCAGATAATCACTCATTGCTTTGAGGTTATGCAGTCCGCCTCTTGTGGCTATGTATTAATTTCACAACTGCAAGTAAAATCCAAACTCTGATGTTTTCTTACAGATCTGCGAGTATCTGCAAGACGATCCTGATTGGGTGAAGAAGTTTGATGACATTGGGAAGTGTCCTTATTCTTACAAAGGTACGTACTTTTTGTGGTGCATTTCATGATGCTGTCAGTATGGTCGAATGGTAGAGGGAAATGAAGAAAGATTAATTGGTAAGGATTTGGAACAAACCGATTGTGGCTCAACGGAGGTACTGCCCGGGCATTTACCTGGAGGCATTGAGGAAAACCATGAGAAGCCTGTCAGTATAACAGTGTTCTGGCCCATATTTAAGCCCACAGTTTTGCAGACAAACTAAAATAAGCAAAGTATTTTTAAATCGTAACTGAGCCTTCTTTTATGGCTACAGTAATTGCTACAAACTATTACTATGAAGTGTAAAGTGAGGTCGCATTTACGTGAATTTCAAATACAGCAAACCCTAGCAAATGCTGGTTAATTGGTGGGGCGGGGGCTGAGGTCGTCCGGATTAGTGAAGCAAAAGGTAGCCCCAAAAAACAAAAAACATAGAACACAAATAAATGAAAAATGTAATGATATAAACAGTTCCGATGAAAAAAAAAATAACAAAATATCACTATAGAGCCTTTAAATTCAAATGGTTCATATGGTTTACCAGATCAGCAAAAGTGCTAATTTCCAAAGCCACTTGGTATCTGACAAAAGTGGTTCGTGATGGTTTTTCTCGGTAAGAAATACTTGTATACCAATTTCATTCCTGAGCTGAAAGAAGCGCGAAATAACCTTTCCACAGCTAAGCCATCGAACTGCAGTAGAATATGTCAGGTCAATAAGCTCGGAATCACATTTACCAGTACTCAATGGAAAATTAGTTCAATTGGCGCATTTCTGCACAATTCTTTCGCGGGCCGGATAAAATCACATCGCGGGCCGCATGCGGCCCGCGGGCCGTAGTTTGGATACCCTTGCTCTAGACTATCGGATAACAGGTGACGGTGAGGTTGTCAGCGTTACGCCCCGGCCGCTATTTATCCCCAGGAAGATTCCTGGTACTCATTTCTGTTAGAGGCTGAGTCGACCCTAGGGCCATATTGTAGCTGGAAGGATTAAATTGAAAATTCGAACGACTTCATCGGGAATCGAACCCACAACCTTCTGGCTTGTAGCATAGAGCCTCAACCAACTACGCTACCGCGTGCTCCCATCCCGCCCACACAAGACAGTATTGTTCATAAACATAAATCGTTACGCATCTCAATTCAGGAACCCAGTGGGTTGGCTACGAGGACGCAACCAGCGTGCAGATAAAGATGGACTTCATCAAGGAGAAAGGTTACCTCGGAGCCATGACTTGGGCGATAGACATGGACGATTTCCAAGGCCTCTGTGGTCCGAAGAACCCACTCATTACCATTCTGCACGACAACATGAAAGACTACATCGTCCCCACACCGCACGTCTCAACTACACCCCGCGTAAGTACACCTCCACATACAGGTAAAGTTGCTCCAGACGTATGGGGGAGTTGAGGTACAGTGCCATCATTCTTGTCCTGTACACTAGATGGAGTCAGGTGGTCAGCTTCACGCCCTGGCCGCTTTACCCCCGGGGAAACCGTCCCCGGCACCCATTGGATAGGATGGTTGGGCCCCAGAGCCTTTCTAGACGTTATGCAGAAGAGAAAAATATACTGTCCTTGCCGGGAATCGAACCCCGGCCGTCTCACCCGTAGCCCGTCACTATACCGACTGAGCAGATAAATTAACTAAACGTAGCAAGGTCCTTCTCGAGAAGCTAATAGCTTCTAAATCACTTAAGAACTTCCATCTCTTTTACAGAACCCAAAGTTTCATTACCGTCTTCACAAAAGCCTCCCAGTGGGTCCCTGTCCTTAACTGAACTCATCAACTCCATATCCTTAAATTTTATTTTAATGATCAATTCTAACTATTTCCTCCCATTTATGTCCAGGTCTCTAAAGTGGGTTCTTTCTTTTAGTTTTTCGTACGAAGACTTCCTATTTACCCATTTTTTACCTATTGGAGTAAAAACAGAAGACAAACCATGTCCTCCATACTGTAGTACACAACATTTCTAAAGGCGTTCTTTGCAGTTTACTAAGCTTACTTTCAGAATGTCTATAAAATTCGCTTCATTGTTTAAGACAAACATGAAATAGTCAATATGTGCCCTTAAGTGGGATTTACTGCGGGTCCATATGAGCGAAAATCGCAATTATTCAACGAACGTTATTGAAAGCATTCCAAAATGGTTTTAGTTCCTGATACGAACATCACAGACGGACAAACATAACCTCCACAAATAGTTTTCTTTTTATTTTGTAAACTAAACTAATAATATGAATAAATGTGTTTGTTGAAAAGCCATAGATTATACTGTAACTCTCACTGTACATACATACACATACACATACAGACTACAACCTTGTCCTCATGGAACGAAGCAGAGCCATCAACATGTAACTCGGGAATTCCCCCCACTACAATTGTGTTAGAGGCACTCTGCAACATTTCAACGGAAATTCTGATATTTTAACAGACCCATAATATCTATGTAAAGCATCTCTGAAGCCATGTCACACCTTGAGCAAGCCACCTTGCGGAAGAAGAGTTCCGTGTCTCCAATGAGATCTCTGGTCTGGCGGTTCTGGTTCCTATCATACATTGAAAATAGAATTTGGAAATCTTCTAATGACGAAGTAACGACTACGTCACTATCTGATGACGCACATTCAACTATGTTCTAGACGGAGCTTAGTTCGATAAGCAGTAATTCATTCCAGACAGTAAAATTAAGTTTACTGAAGAAAACTGCGTTCAACAACACAATTCACCGATCTCGAGCTTATGAATATTTACGTCACATTAATTTATATCATTAATTACTTTATTCATAATTACTATGAATTTCTATTAACCGCAGAGGAATCTACGGTAGCACGAAGTACTGTCCTCTTAAGATGTGACCACGTAGTCTAGTAAATTTCAAGGAGGATGAGGTGGGCAGGACATGTAGCACGAATGGCGGAAGAGGAATGCATATAGGATATTGGTGGGAAAGCCAGAAGGAAAGAGACCACTGGGAAGACCAAGGTGTAGGTGGGTGGACAATATTAAAATGGATCATAGAGATAGGATGGGATGGTATTGATTGAATTGATCTGGCTCAGGATAGGGACGAGTGGAGAGCTCTTGTGAACATGGTAATGAACCTTCGGGTTCCATAAAACGCTAGGAAATTCTTGAGTAGCTGCAGATTTGGCGGCTCCTCAAGAAGGGCTCAGCTTCATAAGTAAATAAGTAAGTCTGGTAAATCTGTATCAGAATTTCTTAGGAAACTTCTGTCTCCATCTTCAGGGTACAGCAGTTTACTCTGAGGATTTGGGGCAGCATGTTCGTCCAAACCATAGATAATTACAAGCAGTATATAAGACTGACTAAGCCGGTCACGGTAGCCGAGCGGTCTAAAGCATGAACTGCCTTCGCTCGCTCAGAAGCCGGGATCGTAGGTTCGAATCCAATTGAAGGCATGGATGTTTAGTGTGTGTATGCATTTATTCTGTGTTTGGGTTGTCCTTGTGACGGGCTGATCACTCATCCAAGGAATCCTGCCCTCTGTGAAAAATGATTACGGAACTGAATAAGAGGCCTGGGCCCTGAATGCGCTGGAAGAGCCACTGCGAAAAAAAAAAAAAAAAACATATGAGACTAAACAGCAAGCATCATGTTAATTTCTTATTTGCAGCCGGAGTGGGATAGGCCACCAAGCACTACACCATCTGGAGGAGCAACACCAAAATCCTCCACTTCCTCCGTTACTACTGCCACCACAGCAAGTGCTCCTACTGCTATTACAACAGCTGCCACAATCAGCACAACAGAATCCACTACTGCATCACCCATCACACAAACTGTGAACCCAGAAACCCCTGCGGCATCCTCTAGCCCTGCGGAGGAACCCGACTGTACGAATGCTGACTACCTGCCGGCTGTTGACTGCCAGAAGGTAAAGAACCGACCAAAGAAATAAGCCCTTTTAAATATGACTAAATATTTTTGTGCTTATTTTATTAATATTTTTATTACATATTGATCAATATAAAACTCCATGACATCTTATACAATTATTTTTTATTTATTTCTGATTAAATGAACACACAGCATATTGTATTTTCTGAAGTATAGCAAAGATTTTTGTACTTAATATTTTATTAAAAGTATATAAAACACTAAAACGAGTTCACATTTAACGATCTGTATAACTTCCAGCCCTTCTGTTAATAAACGTTCATATAATGAGAATTTACACTTCCTACTAATACAGATCATTATTTTCATCCTGTTCCATTAATATGGCTTCATGCTAACCCTTTAAATCACAGGGGTAACAATATATACCATCTTAATAAAATTCCAAAATTTTCCCACACGATGTATTTGTGTATTTTGTGTGAATATAGCAAAAACCAACTATTATTTCCGAACAGCATTAAATGGTTGTCTTTATAATCGAAATGTAGTGTTTCCTGCGAGGTATGAGCTGAATCTATAAACGATATTTAGATTAAACTCGCACTCTAACCCAGCGAACGCAGTCTATATGTTTAGACGTGATAAAAGAGATAACAGAATTATATAAATAATTTTATAACATTGTTCGCATCTTCTGACTGGCTAAAAAACTATGGGAAACTATTCATGTTGGGGCCAGTATTGATGCTTCTTGGCAGTTATACCGACAACTGAAGCTGGAATGCAGATAACTTCTGCTGTTTCTGTTACTTTAAGGGGTTATTCAGATCACACAAACTATATTCACGATTTCCTGGCCTCTAAACCCAATTCAATTGAGCTTGGTTGTCGATATTTATTTCTTTCAATCAAGTTCATGCTATATGAAACAAATGTAATTAATAAAATAAGATGTTACCATTCAAATGTATGTGAATAACAATACAAAATAAAAATTAAATTCACAATTTCGAGGATAGATATTGCTGTTATTCACTTCAGAAACTGTTGCTGCTTCATCCACTTAACTAGACACTGAAGCTTGGCTGGTCAAACTTATCCAATTCAGTGGCACGTCTCACATCTAAATTCCTCATGAAATTTGGCATGTGCTCCACACATTCTCCATAGATTGCTCCATATGTGAACCGCCTACAGAAAACCTTTGGCCCTTTCAGCTCTAAGCCTGCTTCTCAAACTTATTCCCATTTATACATTTTAATGTGTTTCTTCTTTCTCTTCATTTCGTTCCTAATCTTCCTCCTCCACTTTGTGGCTGTTCTGTCCCGAATGCTCCTTTCTCATACATTTCTTTCTTCTCCCCCTTGTTTTTAATCTCTTTCTTTCCTATATCATCTCATTTTACTCTGCTGTTACTACTGCTACTGAAAGTAAAGTAAAGGTATCCCTGTAACAGGCCGTGAAGGCCCATAGGTTTGTGAGATGTCAAGGCTCCCACATTTTCTAGACAATCGGTTCACAGATGGCGGTGAGGTTGTCAGCCTTACACCCCGACCGCCCTTTACCCCCAGGAAGATTCCTGGTACTCATTTCTGTTAGAGGCTGAGTCAATCCCAGGGCCACAGTGAGGCTGGAAGGATAAGATCAATTGAAAAATACAATAACCTCATTGGGAATTGAACCCGCGACCTTGCGCCTTGTAGCATAGTGCCTCACAGTTACGAAATTCAACTACATTTAGGTAGGCCATTTCGGGAACCCAGAGGAAGGGGAACATCCGTTGTTGGAAGCCGCTACCAAGCAATGGCTAGCGAAAGCTGTAACAGACTGAAAAGATCCAGTGTGTCAAATAGTGATATGTGAAGTGTGTAGAACATTGAGAGCACAATCCTTACTTAACCCCTTTATTTGTCTCTTGTACGTCTTTCTTCTAAGTCCCTTCATATTACTATTCTTAAGCGTACCTTTCGAAAGAGAACCTAATTGTGAGGCGAATTTGGAGCATCGTACCGCAAAGTAAGATGTGTCACGAATGTGTGTTTACCCAGCATCTAAACCATTATCATACAGCATTAAAAACAAGAGCAATAAAGTAAAGCCTTGTGAATCTATCCTGTTTCAGTTTTATCAGTGTGTATTTGGAAAAGTGCTCCAACTCTCATGCCAATCTGGAACTGTGTGGAATCAGGAAAAGAAGGTCTGTGATTGGCCTGTAAACTCTGCTCGAGCTGAGTGCCAAACGAGTCGGAAATAAGTACAACATTGCAACATGTGCGATTTAAATGACTCAAAACATCGTAAATAAACCAATGTACAAATATGTTTCGAGTGAACCGTATAAATGGCCATATAGATAAGAATATGTATATATGCTTTATTAAAAATATGATAATAGCAAGTGCAAACTTTCCTGCTTTATGATATGTCATTTTTCAACAAAGATACAGCAATTTTCACTCCTCAGAATTCCCAAATGAAGATCATGTATATCTACAAACACAGGAGTGGTAAGCTACACTAACAGCACCCGTGAACCATTCTTCACCATAAAATCACGTCTCAGACTGTAAAGTTGTCCCCACCCCATTGACATACGGGAGAGTGAAGGTACAGCTCCACACATTCTTAACCTCTGGAATATGTAGAGGTTAGTGGTTAACTTCACGCTCTGGGTGGGTGCCAGAGACATCCTGGACACGGTGATGGAGAGAAAAGTCTCTGATCCCTGCCAGGAACAGGACCCCAATCCCTCGATCATTCAGCCCATTAACTAGTCACTGCAGTGACTCAGGTATACTACAAAACCAAAGTTCTGCCTGTGCTTAATTAAGCATCACACCATGAACTCATATGTGAGAGTGGAAGAACAGCTCTTTGAATTCTTAACCTGGGCTCTAGAAGGAGTCGCCAGCTTCATGACCCGGCCACTTTACACCGAGAGAAGCAGCCCCCACTACCCACTGCACAGGAGGCTGAGTGAGCCCCTGATCTAGTCTGGGTACTATGCAGGAGAAAAGAAAACTCTCCTGCCCTGATCAGGAATCGAACACCGAATCCTTGGTCATATAGTCCACAGTCTAGTAGGTTTACCGACTGCGGAATATTACAAAGCCAAATGTAAAGGTAATGTTCTCCCTACGTTTAACTAACCACCAAGCCATGACATATGGGAAGTGATGGTGTAACTCCATGCATTCTTAATCTTGATGGTAGATGGAGGTGACTGGTTACCTTCATGACCCAACTACTCTATGTGTGGGGAAAGAGACCCCAGTACTACTGGGCAGGAAACTGGGTGCGTCCCAGAGCCACCCTAGATGCGGTGCTCAATGGGACAACCTCTGACCCCTGCTGGGAACTGAGCTTCGATTTCTTGATCGTGCAGCCAGTAGCCCAGACATTATACCGAGTCACGCTGGCTGACTATGAAACCACAGACATAGCAGCAATGCAACAAGCCATGGCAATGCTCACGTGGATATTTGAAAATGTGCATTTAAATTGGCTTTAAAGTGGCTCCGGAGTGGCCTCTTATGGCAATACATTTTTTAACAGAACTATAAAAATACTTGCTCAGAAACATCGTCAATTATTTGTCACAGACAACATGACCTCCTCGTAAGGCATTTGATTTTACAATCTTATGCGCTTTGAGTAAAATAATTAAACAAGTTAGGAAATACGTGTTCGGCATAACGGTTCTGATGAGTTCACTCGATTCTGTTTGTTTAAAAATCGTAGGCCCTACGGAAACACGCATCAGGCATAATTTGCGTAGTTTATTTTTCTCTGCAACTTATGTCTTACACGTTCTTCTGTACAATAAATATTTAACAACTTACACTCGAAATGTGAGCAAAAACGTATGTCAGTCTTCACATGAAGTATCCATTACTGTGGTTCGGTTTAAACCAAAACTGGATCATATCAGCAACCTTCAGAAAAACGCTCTAATATAAAATTCATGCAAACCCGTTCAGCAGTTCTCGAGCTGTTATTTGTGGAGAGAAAGATAGACCAGTTGTTTTCCTAGGTCTACATCGCATTCACTGTAACTGTATTACAGATATTAAGAAAAGATTCTCAGGATGATGCATTTGCCCTACACTTCAATGTCTGTCAATTTACAATACAGTACTACACTAACTAACTAATGCACAATACATCACTACTGGTCACAGTGCAATGGCCAGCAGTTAGCCCCACCCCTTTAACCAACTATCTCCATGGAACTAACTCCTCCCTGTGATGTGTGTACATGCTTGGCAACTCAAGAAATTTCAAGCACTGTATGGAACCTGAGAGTTCATTACCATGATCACAACAGCTCAATATTTATCCCTATCAGATGACTCCAGTCCACAATCTCCCAACCTATTTCTTCCAGATCCATTTTAATAATACTACCCATCCATGCCCAGGTCTTCCAAGTATTATTCCCTTCAGGCTCTGCTATCGAAACTTTGTATGCATGTTACATGCCCTGTACTTCTCATCCTCCTTGTTCTGATCATTCTAATATATAATATTACAGTTCACCTTCAATTAATACCTCTCTGCAATCTATATGAACCTCAGGTGTCACGATGAAGGTCATAAGAACCTTTCAAGTTTTCCAGTTGTTCAAGAAACGTGTAAACTATCTACAGCTTCCTGCAGAAGACTAACACATTCAGAAACTTAACAATTAACAGGCTGGAACTTAGCGCAATGTGAAAGATCATTCTTCTTAAGCGCTTTATGGATTAGCCTCTCTGATCTCTTCCAATTCAGAATTAATTTCCAAAACTATAAACCTGTTACACATTTAGTAGGAACCCTTGAATATGGGATCAGCTCACCTGAAGGCTTGTAACTACACAGGACAACAGAAACACAGAGAAATGTGGACATATATCCATGGTCATAGCAGGATTCAAACCTATGATCCAGGTGAAGAACACAGCTGTGTCTAATTTAAGCATGTAAAATGAAAGCTTTTGGTGTCTGAAACTCAGAATCTAGTCACAGTGTGATTCTGAAATGTAGCTGAGCTTCCAGAAAACTAAAAGTAACATCGATGCTGTTTTATGCCAATGAGATGGTTATTTCATCCATCATGCGTTCATGTTCAGCCCATCCTGCTTCAATATGAAATTCAATGTAGTCAATGTAACTTTGTGAAATTCCCAAAATTGTTCCTGTTTTAAGAAAAGCATACACACTATACTTACAAAATACTGTAACTATATATACCACCTGCTCTAAAATTAAAAATATATGCATATTTCCCAGAGTGTATATATTGTTACATATTATTCTGCAAATAAACAGCAATGACTTCCCTAAACAGCATTAACCACTTGATCTTTACATAACAGAGGTGTAAAATGCTTCCTGTGAGGAACTGAATTGGTATATGCTATGAAGAAGGCAGTCTTCTGGGATTTGGCACCGTGTATATGTGGTGTTAACCGACGTTTCGGAGGAACGTATCGCCCCCATCTTCAGGGTAGAAGAAAAAGTATAAGAAATCTGCAAGCGACAACACAGTGAGTCTGCTTTACCGTTTCTCACGGTGTTGTCGCTTGCAGATTTCTTATACTTTTTCTTCTACCCTGAAGATGGGGGCGATACGTTCCTCCGAAACGTCGGTTAACACCACATATACACGGTGCCAAATCCCAGAAGACTGCTTTCTTCACAGTCACCGCCGTGAAAGCCTCAAATCTTACATGGTATATGCTAGTTCAAAGAAATTTGTGCTTCAAATGCCTAAGACTGAAGTTTGACGCAAGGGATACTAGTTAATTTATTATTTAGATTAAAACATGCAGTCAAATTGACTAAAATGAAGAGCATGTGCTATAAATAACCATCCATAGCATCTAGAAATACAGTAGAACTTGGTTATAACGTCATCAAAGGGACCTAAAAATAGTGTCGTTATAAACGAATGTCATTGTAACCGAAATGGGCACTTCCACAGTAGACTTATGTTAGTCACGTAAAAATCTACCAAAAACCGAGTTAAAATGTTGCATTTTTTAGTGAAATACGTAGTTAAGTACAGACTAACGTAACATTAACGTGGAATTGCCCAAATGTGTAATATCAAAGACATATTACAGCGCTTTTCACTGACAATACTCACAATATTTCACGAATCACTTTAACTTTCTCTTCAATGCTTAAAACTTTCCTTTTCATTGCCATGTTTTCGCTACTGCACTTCTCTGGGTTTAGCCAGGAACACTATAGGGTAAGTAGACAATGTGAGGTCCTGTTAGGCGAGATTCTAGGAAAGGAATGCAGTTAACAACCTTCAGCGTCCTCTTGCACTATTCACACAGTCCCACCCCACACCCTTGTTTTCAAATAAAACCCACGCTTCTCTTGCAGCCCGCGGTCGTATTCTTCCAGGACAGTCACGTCAGCAAGTAGAGAAAGTGAGGGTGGGCAGACATATCGAACTTTCCCACAGTATCAGATAAATTCAGGAATGAAAATGACGTTACATACGAGGTTGATGCATTTGTGCATGTCGTACTAAGCAAGGTATAAAAACAGTTGCTTTATGAGGAATTAGTTCCTACCATTGAATATCTGACGCAATAGACAAGGTGTCGCAGAAACCGATGTTGCTATAACCAAGTTTTACTGTACTTTACAACTATCACAACCTTTCATTAACTTCAAAGGAAATAAATTAATGACATAACCTCACAAGTTTTCTGTTAGTATACACTGTTGCACTTCAGATGTTGGAAGATGTGGGCTGTGCCCCAGACTTACGTTCTGTCAAGCAAAAACACTGATCGGGAATAACCATCACACCATCTTCTAGGGTCAGGCACTAATGCTACCAGATTTTCTGCAAAAAACAAAAAACAAAAAAAAAAAACACACACAATTCCATCAAATTCTCCATAAGCATTATCACCAGTACAGGTACAATAGGACATATGGAAGCCGACGTGCCGAAGGGACGTAATATGGATTCCACCTCACACTATACGAACTCTTAACTATTGTAATCTACTATAATCTAGTGTAAACAATTGTTAAGTATTGTAACTTTATTCTCTTATTGCAATCAGCCAATGTACAGTAACTGACTTGTCCTATATCATGTAACAATGATCTATAGAGACAAAATAAATAAATTAACAGAATATTTTCTACCTCTTTGGAATGGTAATGCATGCACAAAGGAATCTTGGAATATCTAGTTGAACAGTGAACAAACCTACCAACTACCTGCCTAGTATACAATAAGCTACCCAGTGCATGCAACTAATTATTTAACAGAAGAGAAAGCATGAGAAATACTTTATCGGAGCATTACATTGCACTTCCCTGATTACTAAATACAGTAAATATCGTAGAAAATGCAAATAAGAACTGGAGCAATTCAATCTACATGA